TTATTATTATTATTATTATTATTATTATTATTATTATTATTATTATTATTACTATTAGTACTGAATTTTCTGGGCTTGCAAATTCGCGTCTTTCTTCACTGCCTTGCACCAGCTAAATTTGTAAACTGATGTTGGAGACTGTGCTACAACGACGCAGCTTAGATATGAAAAACTGTGAATAGAAATTAAGAGTAATATTTGTACAGAAACTAAAACTTTGATGACACTATTTATTTATCATGACATTATTCAAATAAAAAATTTAAACATAAAAAGACGCACGTGATGTATTAGATATTTTGCATGGATTTTTCCTCGTTGGTAATAGAAAACATAAATCAATAAGCGTGAAAGCGCGTTCAGCCAAAATCAGCAAAATGACCTCGTTATGCTATTTCTTAGTGTATCCTTCTCATAACCCTATGTAATTTCGCAGTCACTCGTGTTTTCTTTAATTTATCCACCGTAATAAAAATGAAAGCTTCTGTGTAGCACTTTATTATGCTTTACGAATTGCTCATTTAAAGTTAGGCTTGCCCACAAGTCGAGCTGAAATTTTTTCACGAGCGCGAAGCGCGAGCGGTAGATTTTTTATCAGAAGCGAAGGACTTTGAAAAAGTCTAATTTAGAGTCTGTATTGGAAATAACTACTATTTTAAAAATGGATCAACTGCATTTACTGTTGTGCCATACTGTGGCTGTAACTTTTGAAAATTAATCAAGGTTTAGATTCATGAGTTCAAGATAGTTTGTGTACTGTTGACACGTACATATGAGCAGGTGTTAGGCGAATAACCTTGAGTCATTTTCGCAAGTGTCATGTTTTTAGAAATGTTAACGCTTACGAACATTAGTTTATAAGCAGAAATTAAAAAACTAGGTCATGTTGGTAGTAAATGATCATGATCGACAACTGACGCGTATTTGAATGAATTAGAAACGATTTCTATTTTGTTGGTAATTATTTTAATCGCGTAGGCTAGAAGTTGAGTGGGATTCCGTCTCTTTAGTAAATCAATATAAAGCGGAAATTTTCCTGATTTAGTTGTAGCTCACTACTTTTAACATAGACACTACCTTGGTTGGTAAAGTGAAAAGGGAGCTATAATCTGTTTTTATAATTCTGGAAAAAAAGCGGAAGTTGAATAATTGTATTTCAGTTCTGCAAATTGGTTCGAGGTGAATTTATAACCAGGTGACTCAAAAAGACCGGTGCTTTATACAGAAAAGTAAAGTGTTTTTATAATAACGACCCGTAGGCGTGTTCAAGTCAAGACAAATTAAAACTTTAAGAGTTTTCCTGTTCATTATTTCGGTCACTTTTTAAAAGCTGTAACAGAAGCTTTATAAGGCTTCAGTTTAAAAACTCTTGGTTTATACAGCATCTTGTATTCAGAAAAATAAAAACCAAAAAATGGAAACTTAAAAAAAGAAGAAGAGGAGGAGGAGGAAACAGCAAAAAACTTATGTGCCTCAAGATTTTTGCTTTCTGGATTCATAACCAAAACGAAACGTCGTCTTAGCAGCCATGTAAGTTTCAATCTGTTTTTCTTTGTGTTGCAAATATTATTCTCAAAATTCGACCAGATAGCCGAAAAGGTTTTACTAAGGTAAACTTAACTCGACCTTTTTTAGAACATAGTTTAGAACTTTCTATGATACATGTTTTCTTTTTTTGGGGGGGGATTTTATTTTTAGAAATTAAATTTTTCTTAAGTTTATGACTAAAATCACCTGTCTCGGATGTTCAATGTCTTATCCAAAGGCCGGTGATTTAAAAGTGATGTTACACGAGACGATTCGCAACGACGAATTTTAGCGCAATGGTTACAAAATGTTCCAGCTTTGCAACGCTGTGTTGCGCTAAAAATCGTCGTTGTGAATCGTCCCCTGTAACATCACCTTGAGTCGATACTGATCGAGCGATGCTCAGAAGATACGACGAACAACGATCATTTATCACTAATTTATTTATTCAGTTTATCTGTATCTGTTTTTCTTCGTTAATGATATCATGTATTGTTTTAGAATTTCGTTTTCAAGAAATGTCCATTGCTGTAAACGCCCTCAGTGTGTGGTCCAGTCTCTGACTAAGCCTAGGAGGAGACGGGAAACTTTCACCGCCTCGCTTTGATGCAGCACATCGCGATATGTTGAGGGACGCGCGGTGTATTTTGTGCCTGCGAGTTTTCTTTGGCCAAGTTGAAATTATGTTGATATAAGCTATCTACTTATAAATAATGGTCGACAGCGGTGGAACAACATCTAATCTCGTAAACCGCGGGGAATGGGAGAATTTCGAGGAAGAAAATGGACAAGTTGGCGATCATTGTGCTGAGATTTCCGCTGGTCTTAAAGCGCCAAGCAAATTTACTGAACACAATGACTCAATTAGTGAGCAAAAATCTTTTCGTTTACAGCGAGAGTCGTCTCCTCATAGGGAGAATGGAGTCACAGGGACTGAATTTAAGGAGAATTTAGACGAGGGATCCGGGAATTTTAAAGGATCACCAGGCGCGATAAGTAATCGTGGGCAATTTAATGACGAAAGTGTTGATGCGGGGAATTCAAGAGAAACAGACACTGATCGAAAAAACGATACGGCTGTGAATGATTGTAAATCTGCTTCACTACCGCGTAAAGTTACTCTAAACGCTTCTAGCCAGCCAAGCAATTTATACAAAGAGAAGACAGATGGCGCGGGACTCGAACTGAATGGTGAGAATTCGAATTTGCATTCAAGCAAGGCCGCAGCTGCCAGCAGCGAATCCAAGGAGATTGCCGACAATAAGATTACTGTTTCTTCGTCAGCGTGGACTAAATTTGAGGAGAGCCAAGATAATAATTTATCGTCGAAAGATGAGGCTGTAAAAGGCGAAAAATCTGAGCATTTGGTAAAAACAAAGGATGAAAATCACACACACTTGCCCTTGAAATCGACCACCTCGAATATGGCGGCTTTTGATTCGCGAAAAGCCACAGCAACCACAAATATTACCCCCAATAATATGTCTGTAACTGAGGTTAAAACGAACTCTACGTCTACCAAGCAAGCAACAATCGCTTCCAAGGCCTCTAACGCCGAGAATGGTATGAAATCAGCTGTTCCTATTGTTGAAAACAACAGCGCCCATGCAAATTTATCATCGATCCCACATCAACAATCTCGTGAAACCGCGAATCAAGGCGAAGTTGATCTTGGCAAAAACTGGGTTAGTTTTGGCGAGGATGGAAATTTAAAAGACAGTCAACAACAACCGCATTCGAACGTTTCAGCGGCGGAGAACGGAGTTGGCGGCTTGGCAACATTGAGGCGTGATCCGCTTGGCAACGACTTTAAATCGCTACAAGTTACAGAGCCGGAGGTTGATACCGACAAAAAATCCACCTCTGTCATGCCTCCTGTGTCGTTTACTGTGGCTGAACTAGATCTTCTCGCTAGTAAGTCTTGGATGAAATTTGGCGATTCGTCCAAAAGTGCTGATAATCAAATGCAACAGTGTTCTTCCAGTTCAGCTGTCAATTCACAATCTTGGGTGACATTTGGTGATTCTACCACCCAAGTTGAACAGCGTTTGGAATTGTTAGAGCTGGATGTAAGCGGTAATCTAACAAAAGTTAGTCATGTGCCTAGCCCAAATCCATTCATCAATGCCTCTCCTTCATCAGGTAGCAATCCGTTTCAGCCAGCTACTACTAATCCATTTCAAGCTGACAATGGACCGGCAGCTGTCTCGAGTCCTGACCCTACACTAAACCTCGTCCCTGTTCCCGGCATGGAAGGTATGCCCATGGCAGCACCTGGGCTTGTAGCCAACAATTCAACAGTAGTGCTTTCAGCAGACAAGAACTCTGACTTTGTTGCTGTTCAAGACCAGGTTGATGGTAAAGCCATTGTTGCACATAGTCATGAACAGGGGCCCACAAAGAAAAGTGAGGAACCATTTCTTGAAGAAAAGCTTGTAACGAGTGGTTCATGGTCAATGCTTCTTCGCTTTCCTGACAAGAAGCGTAAGTTTGGTTCCCGTGAATGGAAACCGGTGGTTATCAAGCTAGAGGGAACAACACTACAAATTTTTGAGGAGTATGAATTGTCAGCACCCTTTAGAGAAATTCCTCTTCAAGCTTATTTTGTGTTCACCGAACCAAAATTACAATCATTTGAACATGGGGCTAAAGTTCATACTATGAAGTTAGAGTATATCAAGTATACTGAGACGAGAAGTCTACGCCATCGCGGGACTGTTGAACATTTAGCACAGGGTACCCCGATCATTAAGATCGCATCTCCATGTCATTTAGTTATTAGAGAACTTCTTGAGTCCTTTAACAACTCACTACGGCTTCTTCCATCATATAGAGACAGGGGTATAACATACCGTCATGATGAGGTCTTTGTTGATATTGATGATGTAGCTAATATCATTTTGTCTGGAGATGGCACCATACTAAGGAAGAGTGCAAAAGTGGTCATTAAGTTGCGAGCTTTTCTGACTGGAGATCCCGAATGCCAGTTAGTGCTTAACGACATTGTTGTTAGAGAAAGAGAAGAAGCTCGTTTACGAGGCGAGTTGAAACCGCAGCGGGTGCATCACTGGGTGAAATTACGCTGTTGTGATTTTCATAAATGTGTTAATGCCACAGCATTTGAGCAGTCACATGCTATAACATTCCACCCATTAGACGCATGTACCTTTGAACTTATGCGTTTTCCGGTGGACCATCACAAGCCACTTCCCCTTCTGGTGAAAACTATCTTGAAAATTCAAAGTGAGCAGAAAGTCGAGCTTAAGGCTGAAATTCAAGTTTGCCAGGAAACAAAGATGGCAAAATATGTCAGAAACAATGTGGTGTTTAGATTTCCTATTCCAGAGTCCTGGGTACCACTTTTCAGAACAGGCAAGGTATTCAGGGGGGAGAAATCTATCAAGTCAAGCAAGGGTGCACGTGCTGCAGGGATTAAAAGCCGTCTTAAGCATTCCAAGTGTTCCATTGCTGTTTCTCTCGGGAGAGCGATGTACGAACCAGAGTATGGCTCAGTCGTTTGGCGGATTGATCATTTGCCGTTTATTCACAGCAAAATTCCTGCTGATGCACCACACACCCTGTCAGTTGTCTTAGATCTACCCCCAGGAATGGATTTTCCTGAAAACTACAAGCCCATGGCCGAGCTAGAGTACGACGTCTCTTATGTATTGATGTCTGATACCAACGTGATTGCCGTCAAAGTGTCCAATCAGAATATTCCAGACAAGTGGGTTTGCTACCGCGCCTTATATCACTATGACGTCAACATTGACATCTCTAGACCTTCAACTGGTCCAGTGCGAGATGTTGGTTGTACCCAGCAATGAAATTCGCCACTAAGTTGTTCTCCCCGAAAGGTATGTTGCAATACACTTCCCCTATACTTGTAAGTCTTTCACTCCTCTTTTCCCATCAAATCAAAACTGTAACCACCTGAAAATTGTTGATTGTTGGAATGTTGATTTTGTAACGTCCAATCACAATAAAAATAATTTAGGACATATGAGTAACAAAACCACAAAACCACAAACTTATAACCGTTGCTATTTGCAGTTTAGTTTCTGCATACCCTAATAGCTTTTTCCCAGCAACACAGTAACATTCCATAAATATTTCTGGTGTTCATGGTTTTGTGATTTTCACAGCAAAAGCCAGAATTGATTTTTTCTGAAATACTTAACCACAAAAAGTTTAATAGGAAAGCACATGTACTGATGGAGAGGTTTTACTTGAGTAGATTCTCCATCTTAATTATGGGTTATCTGTTACACATTCAATGTGTGGTTCCAGAAAATATTAGATAATATCAGAGGGTCAGCAGGGTGTGTCAACAGTGCTAGCCTGGGGCTAAGAGAGCTGCCTGTCTGGCTGGCATGTACATGTATATATTATAAGTTGTCTGATGGCCTTGTACCTGCCATTTACTTGAGACTTAAGTTTCTTTAGGTGTGACATTTAATATTATGATATAGCAAGTAGGGTTTTTTTGTTTTTGACAGGTCTCTATCTTCCCTTTATAGTTTCAGTTTACAATACCTTAAATACGTGTTTATTTATTATTTTTATTGCGCACATTCTATAAAAATAATCAAATGTTTGAAGGGCTTTTTCACAACTTCCATTTTAGTTGAGCATTTCAATCATGCAAAGGGTGCACAAAATATGTCCGTATCTGTCTCTAAATATACAATGTAATGCCAAAGTCTTCTTTTGTTTAGTAAGGATGTGGAAGGAAAATCTAGTAGTTTATCTTTTGAGGCATTTTTCAAGGCACTCCTTCATTATATTATTGACCCAGCATCAGTTGTTCAAAAGATGGTCAGTATAATGCTATCCACCAGATAAATCTCTATCTGTTATCTGCTGGACAGATATTCATCTGGCCTCGATCAGTTGTTCAAAGGTTGGATAGCGCTATCCACGGGATAAATCACTGTCTTGTGGATGGTGCAATAAGTCTCCTTGCTAATAATTATCCACTGGATAGTAAGGTAGTGAATAAGTGTGGCCTGTTTTTGGGATATTAAATAGATCCAGTTCAGCTCTGTACTTGACTCTTCTGTCCAGGTTTGTTGCAGCTGCAAAATTTGTGATTTTCAGTGTGTTTGCGAACAAAAAGCCAATGTTAGTAAATTTTGCGATTTCTCCAATTTTTCACAAATTTTTGCAGCTGCATGCAAACTTGGACATATGTCGCTGTTGACACATATTTTCTCTCTGTTTAGGTCAAACTATCATAAAGGTGACTGGATTTGTGATAAGAAGCTCAATTTTTCTCATCTCCCCAGCAGCATGTTTTCTAACATTATCATCTTACATGAAAAATAAACAAATGGACCGGTAATATACCACTGAATAATAATCATCCTTATTCAAAATATCTGTACATTATAATTTTTTCACAAGTCAGCATTGCAGAGTGGTCAGAGGGTTGGACTTGCAATCTAGTCAGGGCCTCTGATAGGTCGCAGAAAAAAAAGTCAAATTTTGCTGGATTTTTAGGGACAAAATCGCGGAAAACTTGGCCGATTTCGCAGGAATTTTCAGGGCAAACTTGGCCAGAAAGCAATCAGTAAAAAAACGGCGGATTTTGTGGTTATTTTCAGGGCAAATTTCACAAGAAATCGATCGGTTTTTCGCTGATCAGTCCAGCGTTTTTTATGTTCTTCTAACAGAGGTCATCATTTGCTCTTTCAACAACAATACACTCCAGAAATGAACCAATGGCAAAGCCTTTAACATCATGGCTAGTGCCCAGTTTTTTGCAACATAATCTATGCCTAGTAGTTTCGGAACATTGTTTTCACATTTCAGTGACGAAGTTTTGACATAAAATTTGCGAGTTTACGGCAAGTAAATACCCCCAGTATTTACAAGTTTATTTACAAGTTTCAAAATTGCTGTACAGACATGTATTTGATAAAATAATTTCACAGTATTTTGCGTGTTTTTATGAATTTCGTGGGATTTTGCGGATTTTACCTGAATTTTGGGGCTCCGCGACCGTGCGAAATATCAGAAGCCCTGTCAAGTGGTCCTGGTTTTAAAGACCTTCCCAGACTAACAACTTGCTGGATTTGTTTGTTGGTCATGCTAAGTTTAAATCCTCAGTCATGCTTGTAAAGTTATAGTCAACTGGTTGCCCCCTGCCAGCTGGGCTTTTAATCCTGTTGTGTTGAATATGTTTTTTGTATTATGTGTGTCAATTTTTTTCAGTGGAGCACCTGTAAGCTAGCAAGGGCAGCTAAATGCACTTCTCTATAAAAAAAGCATTTACAACATTTTTAACTATTTAAATTCCTCTGTTTTGCCATGTTGTTACTTTTATTGCCCATGTTTAAAGGCATACAGATTAGGAAATTATTTTTACTTTGAATGCCTAAAATACATATACAATACCTTGACATTTTGTCACGTGATTCATAGTATTAATCACGTAACAAAATCTCCAGCTCCATCACTTGATAAAGATTCTGTGATAGAATTAAAAAAAAAACTTTTGCATGGTAAAAAGTTTTCTTGTCCTGGGTTTTGAAACCTCATTTACTTGACATTCAAGTGACATTTCCTTTATGAATAGTTATTAAAGCTACAAATTTTGGTTTATACTGAAATATAGTATTCAGCCACAAACTCCCTTACATAAAGCCGTACATAGCATTTACAGAATAGATGCTCTGAACAGGACCTCTTCGCCCTAAACAGGGTAGATCATTGTAATGTGAGTCTTGCCTAAATAGTTTCAACCAATCATAGACTGGGCAGAAATGAATTTTAAGAGACATTACTTTGTCTGGCACATTGTTGAACATTACCAGCAATATCTGAAAAAAAGATACTGAAAATAATAATCCTGCAAGAGTACAAACTACAGCAGAGTATTTCCTTGGTATTAATGTGACTGGCCAACTAATACAGAATAAGAATAATTACTGAATTACTTCTAATTGGTCAGAAAATGCAGAAAGCTATTAGTTGTTTTGAATTTTAGTGATTGTCTAACCATGGAAAGTTTGGCTGCTCTATGAAAATTAGAGAATTACAGTACCATATGCATACCTGCCAACTCTCCCGGTTTTTCCGGGAGTCTCCAAGTTTTTCATCAAATCTCCCGATCTCCCGGTTAGAGCACCAAATCTCCCGGATAAAATGGACTTTTGAGCATTTCTGTGGTTTAGTTTGAAATTTAGTCCATTTTTTCACAAAATTCGAACTTTTTTTATTCACTGTATAGTTTCTGGAACATTTTTGCACATGTTTAGTCAATGACAAAGATTAGTTCGTCATTACAATGATGAAAGCGCATTTTGATCCCATGTACGTCATGTAAGACATCATATAATGTCCTAAGGCAATTTGTTGGCGCGGGGGGGAGGGGGGGGGAGTGGGGGTGTTGGTGCTGTTGACATTCAGGGGTGGGGGGGGGGTTAGTGCGAAATAGAGAGTCTCCAGATTTTAGCTCTGCGGAGGTTGGCAGGTATGCATTATGTGGTAACAAACCCAAGCCAGCGATCAACAGCTAAGTTTTGTCCCTTTGTGTGAGTATCACAGTATCAGAACTAGAGCAAGAAAAGAAATGGTTTACTTTGAAAATATTTTAAAATGAATTTGATGAAACTTAGCTTGAGAGGTGGTGTAATGGGGTAGGATGGCTTTCTCTGGCTGCTTTGAAGTATTTCAGTCCTCCTCCTTGTTAAAAAGGAATGGAAATATTATTTCGCCATTCTTTACATCTTAGGAAGAGTCTGCCACTGATTTGCTTCTAAATTAGATAATGATAATAAGAATTTTAATTATCTGTAATATTAATTTGTAACTAGGTTATTAATTAAAAAATTAATTTAAGTGGTAAAATATAGTATTAAATTTTTAGTAAGTCAGAATATTATGCTCTTAAATTAATTATGAAATATAAGTAAGGAAATATTAATTTATTTTAATGCAACTGGTAAGCACACTGTTAGAAACATATATGAAAATGAAAAACCCTTTAAGCAATGTAGACAGAGCCAACATGAGGGTCAAACCAAAAACAAAATATGCAAAAATCACAAAATTTAGTTTTGCTCATTTGCACTGCAACGTACAGTGAATGATGTGGGGAATTTGGTTGAAGCTTAAAGGGGTTTTAAGTAAAAATCACCGAACAGTTACACATTCAATCATAAGTCGTTTCAAATTATAAGTTCCGACACAAACACGGTGATCAGCACGGCACAACACTGTGATCAAATCAAATTATGACTAGTCAAAACCTTTCAACGATGTGATATTATTACTGGTGTGTTTTAGTTTTTGATGAAAAATGTGTGTTGTAGAGTAGGAAACTATTCCAACTGAACATTTAGTAGTAATACAAAATATTATTAAATATAATAATTGGTACGTCATATAATTATTATGCTTTTTCTAAAAATGCATAAGAAAATGATGTTAAAACTGGGGAAGTATATTAGTTGGCATCATGTTAGTTGCAAACAACCTGATGTGAAGGGCATCTTTCAGGTATTTGAATTTAAATGGAAAGATAGTCAGTCTAGATGCTATAATGGGTCAGGTGTCCTATTGATACCAAGTATGCTGTTCTGGCACTGATACTCCCACATGTAATGTAACAGTATTATTATCCTTATGTATGAAAACTCAATGTCATGAATGTGTATATTATGAGTGCAAAGTGATGTAATCTTTAGATCGTTTTGTTATAAATGTATCTCACAGAATTTCCTCTTTTGCTTTTATGTTTGCGTGGACATAAGATAGTAGCCTGTAGCGGGGGGGGTTAGGGTTAGGGGGGGCACCTTGGGTGATTATGACCCACATCCCT